CCTTTTTTCCCTCTTTCTTTCGTTTTTTTTTTTTTAATAGTTCCCCAAACAATGCTTTTGCATAGAACAGACAGGCACCTGAACTTTTTTGGCAATAAAATTCCAGCCAAAAGGCAATCATTACATCTTTGCCCATTTCATTTCCAGCTCCAAAAGAAAGAGACCCACATACACAGCAAGACATATCTTTGGCATTTTATAAAAATTTCTGAAATCTCATTGTTTAGTTTTAGGCTAGACCCCAACCAAAAGAAGAATCAGCGGAGTTCTAACCCAATGACTGATAAGTGGCATCACTCAAACTTTCAAGCGTTTCTTTATGTCCTTTAAAAACATGGTAAAATATGCAAAACATAAACTGATCATTTAAATTCTATACACACACACACACACACACACACACACACACACACACACACATACATATGGGAGGCCAGGGATGTGGTTTAGTGGTAGAGCACTTGCCTAATATATATAAAAAAAAGGATAAGGTAAACATAAAATGTTAACAATTAGGACTTTAGGTAAAGGGTAGGAATGAGTTATTTTGTATAATTTTTGAAATATTTTATTTTTATGTGTATGAGTGTTTGCTTACATGTATATCATGTGGGACTTGCACCTGCAGAGGTCAGAAGAGTCAGATCCTCTGGAACTGAGTTTGGATGGTTATAAGCCACCAAATGGATGCTAGGAACTGAACTCTAGTCCTTGGCAAGAACAACAAGTGCTCTTAACCACTGAGCCACCTCTGAAGCCCCCATTTTGTATAATTTTTGCAACTTTACTATCAACTTGAAATAACTTGGAAATAGTAGAAACATTACTTTTTCAAAAGACAATTTCAGCATGTGTGAAAATATTCAAGTTAAGTGAAATATGTAGATTACTAAACAAATGTGCAGTATAAATTTTGTTGACTGCATATATTTAGTTGGATATATTGCTCATGCACAGTTAGTTCAAAAATATAGTTCGTAGATATTTTAGGAGCATAAAAAAAGTAACAATTGTCATCTGTTGGTAAGAAATAGTCATGCCCAATTTAGAACAAAAGAAAGTTGAAGAATTTGTGTTACCAGACATCAAGACCTACTTTAAAGGTACAGGGATTGGGGGCTGGAGAGATGGCTCAGCAGTTAAGAGCACTGGCTCTTCCTGGGCCTCAGGTTCAACTCCCAGCACCCACATATCAACTAACAATCATCTCTAACTCAAGTTCCAGAGGATCAGTGCTCTCTTCTGGTCTCTTCCAGCACTACACACACGTGGCATACAGATATACATGCATAAGTCCATACAGATAAAATTAAAAAAATAAATATTAAAAAAAAAAAGGTACAGAAATTCAGGCTGGAGAGATGGCTCAGCAGTTGAAAGCACTGGCTGGTCTTCCAGGAGACCCAGGTTTAATTCCCAGCACCCATATGGTAGCTTACAACCTATGTAACTGCAACCAGAGAGATCTGACATCCTCTTCTGCCCTCCAAGGGCACTAGGCATGCTTGTGGTGCACAGACATGCATGTGGTGCACAGACATGCATGCAGACAAAACGCCGATACACATAACAATTTTTTAAAATCTACAAATGTTATATAAAATACATTTATTAAAAGTCACATAGCTGTAATTACAGGAGACTCAAGAAATCTTCAGATGCCAAAGATAAAAGAGGAACTGAAAATATCAGTGGAGTTGAGAGTTGATGAGTATCTCCCCATAAGGATCTGTGGTTCTAGACATTTGGCTTGGGAGTTTTTGGTTTGGTGGCCCGGGGCCTCTCAGGGGTTGAAACTGATCAACTCAGTATGAAGTGGAAACTCTTAAAATATTTGCTAAGTGGAAGATCAGATTGCTAAAAAAATAATTAGGCACACAAGAAGACAAGGGAAATTCTCTCTGCTTGGCTTTGAAGATAGGATCTGGAACAGGCCCCTGTGTAAGAAGAGTTATTTCCTTACCATGTGAAACCTCAAGCTTGCACTTTGCATAAGATTGAGGTCAAACTTTCTAAGACCATCCAGGGATAGCCATAGTTCGTCCCACGGATCTTGACAAAAAAAGTGTTAATCCACTGGCATAGCACTAGCAACATCCATATATCCAAAGAGTGTCACACACACAAATATTCATAGAATAATAGAATGTAAAAAAGAGTGGAAAAATACATCCTCTCAAAAAAAAAAGTCAGCAGGAAAACAATAGTCAACACTAAAAACTGTCAAATAGGATGTCAATCTGAATGAAAACAAATGTCCAAAGATACCGAAGAAGACATCAAGGCTTTAAGAATAATACATAAGCCATTGCTCTTAAGCACTGACTCATTTCCCTAGTTCCAACATTTGTGCTTGTAGCAGGAACTGTTATAGATGAGTTTCAAAGACTTTCTTGTGCCACTCAGAAATTCTCATGTTTTTTATAAATAAAAAATTATTTCAAAAATAAAAATGTTAGCTGGGTGGTGGTGGCACACACCTTTAATCCCAGCATGCGGGAGGCAGAGGTAGGCAGATCTCTGTGAGTCTGAGGCCAGCCTGGGCTACAGAAAGAGTTCCAGGAAAGGAGCCAAAGCTACACAGAGAAACTCTGCCTCGAAAAACAAACAAAAAAATGTTGAGATGGGGAGATAGTTGAGTGGGCAAAAGTACTTGCTTTCCACAAAAGCTTGACTATCTGAATTTGGATCCCCAGAATCCACAGAAAAGCTGGAGGCAGTAGTGTAGGCATTTGTAACCCCAGAACACCCCTAGTGGGAGACAGGAGGTTGAAAGAGGAGACTTCCAGAAGCCCCTGGGCCAGCATTGAAGAGACTGTTTCAAACAGGATAGAAAGGTGAGGATCATCACCTGGATTGTCACCTGACCTCATTTTTGTCACGGCACACCCCACCTACATCTACTACACCCATGAACATGCATACACTCCCCCCAAAATAATACTAATAAAAATTTAAATGTCCATTCTTACAATTTGTTTTTCAATAGAATTACTGATTTGGCCCAATAATCTCTTGAATGTTTAATGAATGATCATCCAGCATTTTCTTAGAGCTGACAAGGGTATCAGTGTTTCCAAATATGAACTGGCTGAAGAATCTGATCTTGGACTCTTTCCTTCTTGCCAAATAGCTATCTTTGTCTTTTGCCTAGGTTTCTTTTTTTCTTTTTTGGACCTTTGCTTTGCAGCACAGTACTTACTTAACAACTGGGTCTCCATAGAACCTGTTTGGATGATCCTAGCTTATCCCTTCATGAGTTTGCACACTTACAACATCATCATGTTGCAGTTGAGATCTCCTTTCTTGGGAACAAAAGGCTACACACAATAAGGCAGTCATAACTGATAAACAGTTTCGGCCTGGATCATTCATTTAACCCATATTTATTGCTAATCTACTATGTTTCAGGTCCTGGTCAGCTTTGGAAGACAAAACAAACAAGACAGGGTCCATTTTTTCATGAAGATTATGATGCCATCAAACAAAAGAATTTCACGAGCATTCAGCTCCATTTTGAGAACACAAAAGCAGATGGGTTTCCTGACATCTCTGGCAAAAGAGTTAGTGAAATAAAGTATGAAGTTCAAGTGTCAGTACCTCAGTAGATAGGAAATTGCCTAAAAAGGCTGGTCAGCTAAGAATTCCTGAAAGAGCTGGGCAGTGGTGGTGCCTGTCTTTAATCCCAGCTTTCAGGAGGCAGAGGCAGGCGGAACTCTGTGAGTTCAAGGCCAGTCTGGTCTACAGTTCAAGTTCCAGGACAGCTAAGGCTACACATAGAAACCTTGTCTTGAGAAAAAAAAAAAAAATTCCTGAAAGAGGGGCTGCATCTAAAAATGGATATGATAGGGAAGAGAGACTTTGGGAACTGTGAAACCTTCCCCCAGCACACATATTTTATACGAACAGGAGGGGGTAATTATGTGTAGTTTGATGTTCTCTGTCAAGCTGTCCTACTCAATTACTGCCCTAGTTCTTTCTGTCCTATAGTGGACTGAACAAGAACACAGCTTTTACACTTGCATACACAAAAATCAGTGTTCAGCTATTATGAGCAACTTCATTTACAAAAATCACATTTATTTATTATTTGTTTATTTATTTATTAATTATTTGTGTGTATGTGCATATATGCCAGTGTGAATGTGTGGTCAGAGGGCAGTCTTGAGGAGTCCTGTCCTTCCATCCTGTGGTCCTTGGGTTTGGAGGTGAGTGCCTTTACCTGCTGGGCCATCTCACTGGTCCCTCAACTTTATAGTTTCATAGTAGTTGTTTTTATTTGTTTGTTTTTTGGAGGGGTTATTGTTTTCCTTAGTTTTGGATCTAATTTCCTTAGTCCAATCAGTACTCTCTGAGTTTAGCTAATTCCAATTTCTGTGCAAACACAATTCAGTTTGATGGAGCAGAAGTTTCTCAATCATCTAAAACAGTTTCCCTATGAAAGTTTAGTGGAAATTCCCCTCTCCAAACTGATTCTATGAATGACTGTGATATAAACCCCATTGTTGCATGTTCACGGTGTGCCAGAAACCCTACTTAATCACTCCTTGTAAGGACTCAACTTTTGTAGTCCTGGTGCGCCGCCACAAGGTATGTTCCCTGGGAGAAAGGAACAAAAAGCACTGGAGGCTGACTACGCGGGAGAACAGCGTCTTCATCGGAAGAGCCCCGGAGAGCCTGTTCACGAAGGAACTGGTCCCCTCGGGGTGGAGGTTTGTCATAGGGTCTAGGGCCCATCCAAGCCCGTATAATCAACCGGCTTTATAAATATCCCAGGAGAGTGCGAGAATCACCGGGCTGTTGACTGCTTTCGAAAACCCCACACCGAGTTTCCCTACCTCAGCTGGTAGGATTTTGTCTGACAGAAAATTAGAACCCATGCGCGCCTAGAATTTCAAACTGCCCGAAGTCACGCCTCCTAGGAACCAGAAGCATCCGCGAGCTACGGGACGGCCATTTATAAGGGGCGGGGCCTCAGCGAAAACTATAACCCCCAGAATGCAGCGCGGAGCTTCCGGTTTCCGGCAAGAGGGCCAGAGTGAGTGTTTACACCGGCGGCTCTCTGCGGCCGGGTTCCTTCCGCGGGACGGGTGAGGGCGCTGGGCCCCCTGGGCGCGCGGGGCTCTCGTGGGTCTGGAGTAGCTAACTGGTCCCACAGGAGAGGCGGGGTTGCCATCAGTGTCCCTACTCACGACTAGGTATCTGTGACCTTGGGCCAAGTGACTTGAGCTGAATCTTGATTACTGATCTGAAAAATATGGATGACCATGCCTGCCCCAGGGGACAGTTGTGAGGACCGAGATCGCTATACGAAAACCCCAGCTCCTTCCTCGCTTTAAACCGAAGGTGGACAGTATCTTGAGGTCTGCTGGGTAGAGTCATAGCTTGTTCTTAGCCTTGGCTATACCGCAAGGGGCCTCTTTGGAGGAAGCCTTGTCTATAACAAGGACTTGTCTTGCGTTGCAAAGCTCTTGCACCCTTTGAGTTTTTCGATTTATTTTGTGGGCATTCATATATGCCAGGCTTGGGGATGGTGAATTAGAAAAGCTCTGGTCTTGCCTTCCAAGGCTTTCAATGATGCGGGGGAGGGGCACAGATATAGGGGAGGGGTGAGAAATTGAGAAATAAGTCTTACAAGGAAAAAGCAGCAAAGAGAAAATATCTTTTTTAGGCTGGTATCTGGTAATGAAGCTGGCTGACTAGCCACTTGTTCTCAAATCTTTTGATTTGTGTTGCTCTTTTGCCTTGAGGGAACAGGGAATGTGTGACCAAGAGAAGAAAAAGAGGGCATTAGAAACGATGTGTTTGTGTGGTCTTGGTATGAGTTTGCTAAGAGGCTAAAAAGGGAAAGACAGGAGGTGAGCAGAGGTATATATGGGGACAGTTTTGTTATGAAGTAGACTGACCTGTTGTTATAAGTGGGGCAGGGCTGGGGCCGTTGAAGAAAGCTAGTGGGAGTCAGAATGAATGGGTCTTTAATCCAGGCTGTGGAGTTTACACCTGTTCACAGAGGCTCTTTGGGGTCAATGAAGGCATTCAAAGCAATTAAGTCATTTGTCAGATCTGTGTTTTAAACAATAAAACATTGGGTGGCGCCATGGATCTTTGATATGGGGAGGCATGAAAGGCAAGGACTTGTTAAAGCTGTTGTCATAGCTAAATCAAAAATTGAAGGTGGAAACCAGAAATCAGTGTGTAAAAGGAGTGTTGGATGATCTTGCTCGAATCTCACAACATTCCTATCAGAATGGTCTTTTATGCCCACTTTAAAGGTGAAGAAACTGAGGCATGGAGAAATTCTTTGCTGTCCCCTGCAGGAGGAATAAAGAGAGGACACTAGGTTCTAGTTCTAGCTTCCCAGTGTAACACCTTGTACTTTTGTAGCAGTATTGCACTGAACTTATCTTTCATTTAGCCTGGTTGCAGGAAGGGGATGAGTCGGATTTGTCCTTTAACCATTAATGCCTTATTCTTTTACAGGGAGAAAGAGAGAGCGCGAAAGAGAGAGGATGTCTCTCTCAGACTGGCATCTGGCAGTGAAGCTGGCTGACCAGCCACTCGCCCCCAAATCAATTCTTCAATTGCCAGAGACAGAACTGGGAGAATATTCGCTCGGGGCCTATAGCATTTCATTTCTAAAGCAGCTTATTGCTGGCAAGCTCCAGGAGTCTGTTCCAGACCCGGAGCTGATTGGTGAGTCTTGGAGCTGGGTTGCTGCTCTGGCCTCCTCTGGGAGACGAGTTAGAAGAGTAAATTAAGGGCTTGTGATTTGTTGCTTCATAATGTTAACACTCCAGAGTAAGTTTTACATGAGTAGAAACACAAAACATATGACAGAACTATTGTTTGCCGCTGTAGTCATGTGTTACACTGAACCACTTCGTTAGGATGCTCAACTCTGACATCGTTGAGGTCCTTCTCTTGAGAGAGAAAAATTAGGGGTAAGTTGAGCAAAGAGTTGCTGATGAGACAAGACTCCCCTATCTATCACTTAGAAGGATTTTTCTTTGCCTTAGTGGCTGATTGAAGGGAAGGCAGCCAAACAGGAATGAGGTTGGCAAGGCATTTCTAACGGAGGAAGGAGGGATTTAAGTCAGTTCAGTCAAATTAGAGTATAAATGTAATTTAAGCTAGTCAAGGGTTCCAGCTGGTAAAAAAAATGTTTCCTATCACAGGTGGATTAGATTCATCCTTTTTGGTTGCTACATTTTTTTCCATTTTTTTCGATTAAGTACTCTCTACAGTATTGAGCTTTAGAGCTCTTCTGTGGATGTATTTCTTAAATAAGCATTTGTGCTTGATAACAGTTGTTTAAAATGTTAGGTTTTATTTGTTTGTATTTGAGATAGCGTCTTACTTTGTAACCTTGACTGGCCTGGAAATCACTTTATAGACCAGGCTGGCCCGAACTCACTGCTTGCCTCAGCTTCCTCTGCTGGGATAAAAGACGTGCAACACCACACCTGGCCAAAACTGTGTTTCTTGATAGCCCCACAACACACACAGGTGCTAACTGTTGTATCCAGGGCCTTGCACATGCTAGGAAAGCAGTCTGCTACTGAGCTGTACCCAAAGCCTGTTTATATGAAAAAAAAAATTTTTTTTTAATGTAAAAGTAGGATCTTGCTAAATTGCCCAGACTGGCCTCAAATCTGCTTCAGCCTCTCAAGTATCTGGGATTACAGATGCATGTCACTGCACCTGAGAGAGTATCTTCTTTTGTATGTAAGTGGTGCATACCTATGTGTGCCAGGGTCCAGCCTCTGCTTGAGTTCAGATCCTGAGATGGGGAAGGGGTATCGGTACAAGGAAAACTTCTGACCACCAAGTGGATTGCACTCAAGTGGCCCCGAATAGCTTAGTCTATCTTTATTTATACTTAAACAGAGGTGGTTTTTTTTTTTTCTGTTTTTTTTTTTTTTTCTTACCAGGGTTACATGAACAGCTTTATTATTGGCTCCTATTTTTGACTTTAAGAAATACATCATGATTTAAGTAATACATCGTCATCATTATGAAAGCCCCCATTGTTCTCCTTTATGTTTCCCCAAATACACCTACCCACTCCCTACATAACCTTATCCTAGACACAGAGTTCAGCATTTTTTCAGGCTTAACTAAATATCGAGACAGACACATCCTGCTCTTTCATCACTTACATCAGCTGGCAGCCACTTGTGGTTACAGAAGTAAAAAGTAATAGATGTGGGCACAATGCTTTAAGGACAACAATATTCAAACCCAGACAATTCTTTCATGTCTGTAAGATATGCTTTTATACAGTTCCCTTTTCTACAAGAAGGTCCCATGTCTCAATCTCTCTGTAAAAGGCAGACCTTGATAAAGCACTCTTTTTACCATCTCACTCTACCATACGTCTTCCACCAATATAAGCTCCTATGTGTGGTAAAGATGGATCTATCCTTCCCACATTTTGCATTGTATTTTTTCCTCTTGGAGCATGCCAGATCCTACCAGTGATTCTATGCTTGGTGTCCAGGGAACTTACTCTCAACAGTTGGCACTATGCGTATTCCTGAGGCTTTCTCCTGAGTCTGTGTATGCATGCCCTGCTCTCCTTTCCAGAACTGTGAGACATGGTTAATGTTCCAGGTCTTGTTTTCTCATATGTACCTAACTATCTCCATTGAGTTAGAAAAGTTGCCAGGATTGGGAGTTGTAGTTAGTAATTCCAGATAAGATATTTAAGAAGCATTAACCACCTGTTGAAACTTAGGGGAAAATATTTGAGAAAGCAGAATTTCCAGGGAAAATTACAGCTATTGCATGTGTGACCGACAAAGTAAAACTAAGAGCTGCTCAAAGAATCAGTAATATAATGAGAGAGAAAAGAGCCTGCAAACCACACGAATTTTGCAAATTCCTGTGCTGTCCTGTGGACTATTGGTCCTTGCCACGTGAGAGTCTGTCCGTTTCTACAGGTGCCTTGTCCTGAGGAAACCCGTTGGACAGGTAGTCATGCTGATCGGAGACTAGGCTGCACAGCTCCCAACATATTTGTGCAGGTGTATGCACTTATGCGTGTACCTGAAGAGACCAGAGCAGGTCATCAGGTGTTCTCTTTTCCTACTCCTCTTTATTGCCTTGAGACAAGATCTCCAACTGAACCTGAGGCTTGCAGTTTGGGTTAGGCTGGATGGCCAGCAAGTTCTTGGTGTCAGCTTGCCTCTGCCCTCAGTACTGGGGTTACAGGCACATGCAGCCATGCCTGGCTTTTTGTGTGGGTGCTGGGGATTTGAACCGAGGTCCTCATGCTTACAGAGCAAGTGCTCTTACCCACTGAGCTGTTTCCCTTCCCCCTAAGAGCTGTCTAATTAAAATGAGATTCTCAGGAGACAGAAACTAAATTGCTTTGAGAAACAAAATATAAATGGTCAGGGTCTTTTTTTTTTGTTATTTGTTTTTTTTAGATCTGATCTACTGCGGTCGGAAGCTAAAAGATGACCAGACCCTTGACTTCTATGGTATTCAGCCTGGGTCCACAGTCCATGTTCTCCGCAAATCTTGGCCCGAGCCTGATCAGAAACCTGGTAAGTGAGGGTTTGTCCTTAGTTATCATGGGCAGAGCTTCGTGATATCTCCAAGGGAAGAGCCTGTGTATTCTTGAGGTATGATCCTGGATGCAACAAACATTTCCTGAGATGGTGATAGGAACAATCTTTATCCTTACTGGATTAGAGCCCACTGATAGAGTTAAGTTGTGACATTGTTACTGCCAACACCATTGTTTTTTGTTTTTTGTTTTTGTTTTCCCCAAGACAGGGTTTCTCTGTGTAGTTTTGGTGCCTGTCCTGGATCTCGCTCTGTAGACCAGGCTGGCCTCGAACTCAGAGATCCGCCTGGCTCTGCCTCCCGAGTGCTGGGATTAAAGGTGTGTGTCACCACCGCCTGGCTTTATCCATTGTTTTCTAACCATGTAGGGAGTATGGGTTTATTTAAACTCTTTAGATTAACAGCTGATTTTCCAGTTAACTTTATATCCTCTTCTTGTTGCCGTGCTCATTAGACAAAACGCGAAACTTCCCCCGTTTTTGTAACGCTACAGTTTGTTCCTGTGTGAGCACATCTTCCCACAGACCCCTCGGTTGCTGGTTTGTTCAGTGAGCTAACTACTGTCGAACTGGTAATTTATTTCCAGAAAATATTCCAATAGCACTCAAGAAGCTCTTGGAAGAAACTATACAAACTTAAAGCCTTTTTAGTTTATTAATAGAAAGTGCTGGTTGGAATTTACAATGTAGATTTTGTGTTTGTGTTTTAAAAGCTTCTCCACGTATAAAGTCAAGCTATGTTAAAGAGATTAGCTTTGTTAAACTAGCAGTTTGACATATTTTTATCTTGTTTGTGTCTGCTACGAGTAGTTACCAGTTTGAAAGTTACCTTTTCAATTTTAAATGTTAAGGACAAAAACATGTTTTGCATCCATATGGGAAGTGAGACATCCAAGGATTAGTCTGACACTCACAGCCAGGCTTTAGAGTCTCACTGTTAGAGGTTCACCATCATCAGACAAGGACTTTCTGAGACTGTCTGGATCAAGTGAAAAGTAAGATCCTTACCATTTCTAAACAGACAAACATACAAGAAATTACATATTCCTTCACCCTGGCTGATGAGAGCGACTTCTTCCTCTGCCAGTTACCGTTTTCACCTTGCTATAGTTTGCCTTTCTTCTCAAATAAAGCTATTAAGAGCCTAATCATAAGATTGACCCCAGAGCAAAACTGTGTTTTCCCCAGAATCATCCAAGAAGCCCAAATCCTCTGGCTTTCCTAATACCCTCTGATTGAAGTGCCTCACAGGTGTTGGGATGTATTTTCTCCTCTATGTCCTGAGCATTGAATGCAGCTTGTTCAGATATAGGTCTGTCCCTCTGCTCTTCAGCTGGAGGGCATTGACTGAAAAATGAATGGTTATGGTTTCTGCAAGCTAGCTGTTTTTCTTCAGCATCTTATCACCTTCTAGCATTTTATAGATGGAGAAAAAGATTGGAAGGATACTTATTCAGGGCCACCTAATTAAAAAGAGTTAGAGCTGGGATGTAAATCTAGATTATTCTGGTTTAGAAGCCTTTGTGTTTTCTTCTGGCCTGGCTGCCTCTTTCCCAAAGGGTATTATATTACAGAGACACCCAGTACTCTTAGCAGATTGTGCCTTAGGATATCCAGAGCCTTTTCCTCATGTTATCTGCAGGTTTATTTTTGAAACAAATGGAATTTTTATTGGGAGGTGAATTTAAATTTAGTTCTGAAAGGAAGTTTTCTTAATGATAGTACTTTAGATATTTTCTCCTGCAGCATTCTTCTAAAAGGAGGTCGATTCGATGCTATACTTCTGTGGTCACAGAATAACAGAGGCCGAGGGAGGAGGGTTGCTGCCTGAAGGCCAGCCTGGTCTAAATAGTAAGACCCTGTCCCAGACAGTAGGAATGGAACAAACAGCAGCACCCCACCCCAAAGTTGGCACTGTAACGAGGAGAACTGCCAGGCAGTCTTTCTGCCTGGATCACTTTGGGAGTCTCCATTGCAGGCTGCTGTTTCTAAGGCTCTCACTTTATTTTATTTATTTATTTATTTATTTATTTATTTATTTATTTATTTATTTATTGTGTTTGTGTGTGTGTGTGTGTGTGTGTGTGTGTGTGTGTTGAGCCAGGGCTTTGATTTTATCACCTAGAACTTGTAATCTTTCTTCTGCTTCCAAAGGACTGGGATTAGAAGTATAGGCCACCATACTTAGCTTAAATTATTTATTTTTTATTTCTTGGCAGTGCTGGAGATCAAGTACCCCTTCTTATTATCCCATGCCTTTCCATGTATTTTCACTTATACTTCAAAGCCCTCCTTCCAGTAAACATGTACTCTGCCTTAAGTTCTCCTTTTGGATGGTCTCCCAGGAGGTAACTTGGGCCCTAGCCTTACTTGTAGTGATGACTCGCACCCTTAATGGCAATCTGTGTCTCTGCCCAGGACCTCAATATGACATTTTATAAATATATGTTTATATGTTGGATTTAATTTCATAGTTTCATTTCTCCTACTACCCCAAGAATTTTTAATGGGAGGGACTCTTATTTTTCACCTTCTTGTGACTTGTCCAAAGCTAGAAACAAGATAAATGCTTGATTTGTTCAGTTTGTTGAATGAATAAATTATTATTGTCGCATCTATTTTCCAAAGGAGACAGCCCTCATGGTCATGATATGATTGCTGTGCTGAACTCCAGGCATGCAGTTCACTTTGCTTTGAGAGTAGTGTCTGTACAGTCTGATTATGTAGCCTAGATTATCTAAGGATACCACACTACAGTGTGACCCAGGATGAACTTCCTACCTGTTCTCATCCTTCAGATTCCTCCCCTGTGAAATGAGTTATGATAGGTGACCAAATGCAACCTGACTACTGCTAGACTTTCCTGGATACGTAGATTACAGTGTCCAGAAATCAAAAAAGAAGTTGCTGTTTGGCACATGATAAAAGTTTGTTCATCAGAGCTTTCAAGTGCCTTGTGCTTCCTTAGTCTTTACTGGGATTCTTTTCACTGTGGCTTGTTTTTTATTTATTTGTCTGTTTGTGGTGCTAGGATCAATATGGAGAGATGGCTCAGAGGTTAATAGTGCTTTATGAGGCTGGGTGGTGGTGGTACACACTTTTAATCCCAGCACTTGGGAGACAGAGCTAGGAGGATTTCTGTGAGTCTGAGGCCAGCCTAGTCTACAGAGTGAGATCCAAGACAGGCACCAAAACTACACAGAGAAACCCTGTCTCAAAAAACCAAAAAAACTTAGTTCTTTCTGCTCTTCCAGAGGACCCTGGTTCAATTTCCAGCACCTGCATGTAGTTCGCAACCAAATGTAACTCCAGTTCCAGGGAATCTGGTGGCCGGGCACTCTCTTGGTGCACAGACATACATGTAGGCAAAACACTCATACACATAATAATTAAAAGATAAGTAAATAAAAAAAGAACAAAGGGGCTGGAGAGATGGCTCAGAGGTTAAGAACACTGGCTGTTCTTCCAGAGGTCCTGAGTTCAATTCCCAGCAACCACATGGTGGCTCACAACCATCTGTAATGAAATCTGGTGCCCTCTTCTGGCCTGCAGGGATACATGCAAACAGAACACTGTATACATAATAAGTAAATAAATCTTAAAAAAAAAAAAAAAAAAAAAAAAAGAACAAAGAAACCTAAAAAAAAAAAATTAGAGAAATCTAAAAGAAAGTAATGAAGAAAGAATTACTCATGAGCCTGCCCCTCCTAGAAAATGTTATTCTTTATCTTGCTCCTTCCAGCCTTAGACCATATGCAGACTGACATATTTTGCATAGTGTTACCAGAGAATGCACATCCAACTTTGTGTTCTATTTCTTTCTCTTAACATATTGTGTCAGCGTAGTGCTATATCGTTAAGATGGCTTGGAGTGAACTTATTTTAAGTTCCTACGTAAGAGTCCACTGAGTTGATTATACATTCTTCCTTTTCAAATGTAAGAAATCTAGAATTCCTGCAATGCCTTGTTGATCAGAAAAGTCTCTTTCATGTGGCAAGATCCCCCTCTGCTGGAACTTCGTTTGTTTTATGTACTGAAGATAATTGATTGAGTGCAAGTTTCATATTTGTGATACAGATGGGGTTCTCTGAGGTGGAGGGTGAGGAGAGAGGGACTCTGTAGACCAAGTTGCACCCCGACAAATGCTGAAATGATGTGGTCATGTCTGGGAACGACAGAGCCTGGGCTGTGGGGTAACTACGTGTTTTGTCCTCTAGAACCTGTGGACAAAGTGGCTGCCCTGAGGGAGTTCCGGGTGCTGCACAGTGCCCTGCAGAGCAGCTCCTCCTACAGAGAGGCGGTGAGTTCCAGCAGGAGGTGATGTGAACACTGGCCGTTGTTTAGCTTGGGAGCTGACAGCACCTTGCCACGGCAACCAAGAGTTCCTCTGGGAGGTTTTGTTTTTGTTTTTTCGAGACAGGGTTTCTCTGTGTAGTTTTGGTGCCTGTCCTGGAACTCTCTCTGTAGCCCAGGCTGGCCTCGAACACAGAGATCCGCCTGCCTCTGCCTCCTGAGTGTTGGGATTAAAGGCATGTGCCACCACTGCCCGGCTTCCTCTGGGAGTTTTTGTCATGTCTGTGGGCCTGAGTCCCAGACATGTCCCAGACAGAAAGAATCCTGTCTTTCCTCAAAGAGTCTGTCTCAGTAAGGCATTGGCTGTTGATTCCCTATGATGATAATTACACAACCTCTCAGGCTGGCCTTGTGGACTGAATATGGTTACTGCTACAGAATCCATATACCTTTTCTGATGGGACTTGATCTTTGATGTTAATGAACTGCCTATCACCTCCTAAGCATGGATTTCCCCAATGGAGAAATGAGCTGTTGACAGGCAGAATTAATACAGCTGTGAACTTCCTTTCTTATGTATGCCAGTGTAAAGTAGTCATTGTATGGAGATTGGAAGGGGCTTTGGGGACCTGGAGAAATAGTTATTGGGCTTGTGATGAGAGCATTTGTTTTAGAAGTATCTGGAGTATAGGGATGGTGGTGAGGAACCACAGACTGTGTTCCATTGTAGTCGTGTGTATACAAGCATTCAGAAGGAGGAGGTCCAGAAGAGTGTGGGCACTTGATGACTGTATGGCGCTAGTCGGAATGCTAAGCCATCCCTGTTTCTCCTGCAGGTCTTTAAGATGCTCAGCAATAAAGAGTCTCTGGATCAGATCATTGTGGCCACTCCAGGCCTCAGCAGTGATCCCATTGCTCTAGGTAAGTACAAGAAAAGATTCGAAGAAATGTGAGGTTTTGGAAGAGGAGAAAACTAGAAGCAAAAGAGGGCTCTGAAGAAGCACTGCTCTTGAGGGATAAGGGAACAAAATCAAGGTTCATTCCACAAACCTAGCCCCTAAGGGCTCTAAGTCCTCCAGTGTGGCAACTCTGTGTGGCCTAAGTGCAGGAGAATGGGGAACAGGGAGCGTTCCCACTGGAACAAGATACCCTTGACTTCGTTTCCGCCTTTCTCAGGAGGGCTGGTTTGGGGTCCCTTGAGTTGCTTGCTTTGAGACTTAATGCTGCTGTTTCCCTCTGGATCTGGCCAGATTTCAACTGCCTAAGAGAAATCTTGGTCTCTTCCAGGGGTTCTCCAGGACAAGGACCTCTTCTCCGTCTTTGCTGATCCCAACATGCTGGATACGTAAGTGAAGTACCATTCCTCACATGGTCAGGCTAGAAACCTGGTCGTTGCCTGGAATCTCTTCTTGGAAGTTAGTTCAGTCTGTTACCAGGTCTGCTTTTGAAATGTGTCAAGATGTAAGGAACAGGAGGGACTGCTTAAGGAATGAAAAGCCCCAGGCAGGGGGGGCACATGGAAGTATGTCACGATGGAGCAGTGTGGTGAGGGAGGGAGGAAGGGAAGGAGAGAAGGAGAGAGAAGAGCGCTTAGTGTGCCAGGTGGATTTCATGTAGTAAATGTCAGGGATTGTAAGCTAGGGAAAGAAGACATAGGTATATAGGACATAAAATGTTTGAGCTGGAAGGACAGTAGTGGCTGCGTCCCCTTATTTTACAAGCGAAGAAATTAACCCAGATCTTGGAAGAGAAAGGAGTTATCAGAAGCTGTCCATAGTATAGGAAGTTGTGTCTGGATCCAGTTCTTAAGCCTAAGCCTACCAAACTGTACATTTCCATTTCCCATGGTGCCTTGCCTGTAGTTTTACTCTTTTGTCTGTGTGATGGATTTTCAGTGGATTTCAAAAGTGGAGCCTTTCTAACACTGCTAAGGGCAGATCAGCAGGATGACAAAACTTCCTGGCAAAAGATGCTGAAGAATGGGCTAAATGTGGGGCACTTACTTATAATCCCAGAACTCTGGAGGCAGAGCTAATCACAGTAAATTTGAGGCCATCTTGGCCTAGAGAGCAAGTTCTAAGCTAGCCAGAGCTATAGAGTGAGGCCCTATCTCAAAGCCCAAACCCAAACTAAAACAAAACAAAATCACACTGAAGACTAAGGGATTAAGGGCAGGCCTGGGTAGCTCTGTTTTAAGGGTCACTCATACTGTCATGGAAAAGGGTGCTCTTTCCTTAGTCATTTTTCTGTCCCTCTTCTAGATTGGTGCCTGCTCACCCAGCCCTGGTCAATGCCATCATCCTGGTTCTGCACTCGGTAGCAGGCAGCACCTCAATGCCAGGAGCTGACTCCTCTTCCCGAAGCATGCCCTCCAGCTCGTACCGAGATATGCCAGGTGAGGCCCCTCAGGAGCTGGTAGTGGCCCAGGGATTTGCTTTACTCAGCAGCTATGTATAGTGTTGGCATAGGGCGTGAGTCAGGAAGTGCATCTGTCCTGTAATTTTCCAAGGGGAGAGATGAAATATGAATTTGGAGCGTAACTTGAGCTGAGATCTGGAGCTGCGCCGGTGCCTTTCTGTTCTTCCTCCTGGAATCTGTTCACTCTCCTGCAGGTGGCTTCCTGTTTGACGGGCTCTCGGATGATGAGGACGACTTTCACCCAGTGAGTGGCATGGCAGCCTGCCCCTTGGGGGAGATGGTCCTGGGAACCAGCTTCTCCTTAGGACCTGCTATTTCCAAGGCTGGGAAGTGGTCACAAGGACCTTTAGGGGCCAAGGCCATGTCTTATTCCTTTGGAAAGGAGGGACCTTAGGAAGTCTTCCTGGGAACTGTGGGGGCATGGGTGTGGTTCTTTTATCCTAATTCTGGATGCTTCTTTTTTCCAGAGCACCCGGTCTACGCCCTCTAGCAGTACACCCAGCTCCCGCCCGGCCTCCCTGGGGTACAGTGGAGCTGCTGGGCCCCGCCCCATCACCCAGAGTGAGCTGGCCACTGCCCTGGCCCTGGCCAGTACTCCAGAGAGCAGCTCTCACACACCAACTCCTGGCACCCAGGTATGGAGAGAGAGTTGGGAACCTTAAGTCCAGGCTGCCAAAAGCAAAACTCCCTATGTTAGATAAGATTTACCTTTGCTACCCCTGGTGCTAGATCTTTTTGCACTAAATCCTGGGGCTTGGTAGGGATTTCTCAGCTGTGGTTCAGGTGACTCCCTTTTTCACTTACTTGCCTTTAGGACTCAGAAGTCCAATTTTAGCACAAGCCTGGTTTTTCCCTCTTCCTTATCCCCAATAGGGACTAGATATCACTGGAGTAAGGTTCTTACTGATGATTTGTTCTGTCTCCAAAGCTACCTCTCTTAGTACTGGAATTCTAGATTGGGCCTGGGGTCTCAGAATCTTTTCCCTGGAGTAAAAGAGCATGGGACCTTTTATGTCCACATAGATTGCTTTTAGGTACCCCATAATATAGTGTGGTTGTCTTATAACAGACCCCTGTTGGTAGGCAGGAGGTCGGTACCCCAGGAGTAGTGTGCAGTCATGGGGCAACACTGACTGTCTGCTGTGAAACTGAGATGGCTATGGAGCAATGCTGACTATTTATTTGAATCTAGGGCCATTCTTCAGGCACCTCGCCAATGTCCTCTGGTGTCCAGTCAGGAACGCCCATCACCAATGATCTTTTTAGTCAAGCCCTCCAGCATGCCCTGCAGGCCTCTGGGCAGCCCAGCCTTCAGGTGAGTCTCTACACTTTCAGGTTTCATGTAGTCTCCTAGTTTGGCATACTGAGCCTTTTCCTTCTAGGAACACCAGGGGCAAATGAATGGCAGCGTGACAGGTGAGCCTTCCCAGAAAGGCAGTTGTTCTTGTGGCTTCTCATTCTTGCCTGAGTGACTGTGGCCTGACTCCTGTGATCATGAGGAAGTTCTGTGTTTTTTGTTTTGTTTTGTTTTTATTTTCTGAGACAGGGTTTCTCTGTGTAGTCTGTCCTGGAACTCTGTAGACCAGGCTGGCCTCGAACTCACAGAGATCCACCTGCCTCCCAAGTGCTGGGATTAAAGATGTGCGACACCACCGCCTGGCAAGGAAGTTTTAGTTAATCATTCATTCAGTGAGCATTGACTGGGCAGTGAGCACACATATTATTGGGACTAGGTTGAGCTGCTGGAGCTCAAAGCGAGCCTGATCCTTGTTCCTGCCATGGAAGGACACCATGCAGGCACACATTTGGGAAACATCTTGGTGAGAAACACAGCTGCTTGGGGTAAGGGCCTGAGTCCAGCAGAACTGAGAGAGACTTAAGCTGATTGATAGAGCTAAATTTGGTAAGCTAGGTAGGGATGGGTTGTTTGTGATGGGGAGGGGATAATTTCCAGACAGAGGCAACTGCCTGATGGAACAGACGTGTATAGGTATATGTGATATAGAGTTAGAAATCAGTGTTGGCAGAGAACATCCTGAGATGGGATCAGAGAAAGAGAGTAGAAGCCTAGGTGTAAGGGGCCTTGAATGCCAGTCCAAGGAGGTTAGATTTGATCTGGTAGTTATTAGGAGTCCTTAGAAGCTTTAAATAGAAAAGGTCACCCTAGCAGCTAAGTGGGGCATCAAAGTGTTAGCATTATATCTTACACCTTCAGGTATGAGCTGTTTGCTTTATGCCTGCTTCATAGTGAGTCTGTGGGGGAAAGCATCATTCTGAAATTTCTTTGGGTCCCACAGCTATGAAGGAAAACCAGGGCACAAGCCTATGTGGTTTTCATGATTGCATGCGGTACTCATGGGCAGGGCAAGTGATTGGACGGCCTGTGTTTGCTTCAATTTCATCTCCAGTCAAATGCCTGTTCACTGGGCTCCAAAGCTCTAGGCTCTCACTGGCTCTCCCTGGCGTAAAGCAAAGCTGAGATGACATGTGTGCATTTCTTTACCTTCGTAGCCTTACCCCTGTTTGCCTCTGCATTTCTCCCCACTGCCTTCTCCTCACGTGTGAAGTTTTCCGTAAGTTATACATTTCCTTTCTGTGATGAGGTAGGCAGTAATGAAACTATGAAGTGCTAGGAAAAATATGTGGGCAAATCTCTTTCAATCCTTAGAGTAGGGAAAGCTGCTCATGGCTGAAATTTAGAGTCTAGGAGCCATTATATACAGTCATTCTAAATTTTGAGTTTGTCAAAGTGAAAATTCATTCCTGGAAAACCAAAGCCAAAAAATCAACAGCAAGCTGGGTGGCGGTGGCACATGCCTTTAATTCCAGCACTCGGGAGGCAGAGCCAGGCGGATCTCTGTGAGCTCGAGGCCAGCCTGGTCTACAGAGTGAGATCCAGGACAGGCTCCAAAGCTACACAGAGAAACTCTGTCTTGAAAAACAAACAAAACAACAACAACAAATTCAACAGCAAAACCCAAACAAAGTCTTAAGGCTGACAAGTTGTAACCCTATCAGACAAGTGGCACACGCTCCTGAAATTGAGCAACTTCAGACCCACCACTTCCTAGAAAAGTGGGAAAGGGTATGAATAGACCATTCACTGAAAAGGAAGTATGGCTGTATGCACACAGAGTTCCTAGCAGTCCCATTTCTCAGAAACTGTCCTGGAGATGTTTGTGTATATAGAAAATGATAATTTCACACCACTGAAAGAGTCACAGCCGCATTGTTTGTAATGGCAGAAGATTGCAGACAGTCAACTGGGAGCTGGACTATTATGTGCTTACTAAATAACTTTTTGTATTAAGGCATGATGGTACACTGTGATCTCAACACTTAAAAAGTTGAGTTAGGAATATTATGAGTTGGTGACTAGCCTATTATATATATATATATGAAAACTCTTAAAAAACAAAACAAAAATTTTTGTGTATGTGCTGGCTAGTTTTTATGTCAACTTGACACAGGCTGGAGTCATCGGAAAGGAGGGGACCTCAGTTGAGAAATTCTTCCATAAGATCCAGCTATACACAAGCCTGTGGAGCATTTTCTTATTTAGTGATGGATGGAACCACTGTGGATGGTTCCGTCCCTGGGCTGATGGTCCTGGATTCTATAAGAAAGCAGGCTGAGGGCTGGAGAGATGGCTCAGAGGTTAAGAGCACTCTCTGTTCTTCCAGAGGTCCTGAGTTCAATTCCCAGCAACCACATGGTGACTCACAACCATCTGTAATGAGATCTGCTGCCCTCTTCTGACATGCAGGCCGAACACTCACTGTATACATAATAAACAAATAATGTTAAAAAAAAAGAAAAAAGAAAGCAGGCTGAGCAAGCCATGAGGAGCAAGCCAGTAAGCAGCACCCCTCCATGGCTTCTGCATCAGCTCCTGCCTCCAGGTTCCTGCCCTGTTGGAGTTCCTACTCTGGCTTTCCTCAGTGATGGATTTAAAAGCTATAAGGTGAAATAAACCCTTTTCTCCCCAGTTACTTTTATCACAGTGGCAGAAACTCTGACTAATACAGTGTACCAGCATAGAAAGATCACTTTCCACTACCTATCAGAGTAAGCAAAATTTTTAAGCAGGGTGTGATGATGCATACCTGTAATCTCAGCACTCAGAAGGTGGGAGCAGGGAGATTGAGAGTTCAAGGGCATCCTCGACTGTGTAGTCAGTTCGAGGCCAGCCTGTTCTACATGAGATCCTTTGTCAAATATCCAAAAGAAAAGAAAAACTTGAAAAAACAATTGCACTTACTTATTTTGTTGATTTTGTTCTTTGACAGTTCCATACACATACTGCATGTAATTTATTCTGATTACTCTCCTTGCACCCTCTCATGCCCTCCTCTATCCCTATCAGATCTGCAGAACACCACTACTGGTCTCTTCCCGAGATTCATGACTTTTGGTTTTGTTTTGTGTCCCATTAGTTTGACCAGGCCTTCTGTATAAGCACTGGATTGGGACTATCCAATGGAGCCTGGTGGGGTCACCAGTGGGCACACAACTGAAGGCAGTGACTCCACCCCTCCTTGACTCTATCAGTAGTAAATAGTTCAGCCTTGTGAGGGATGCCCCCCCAGCCCTCCCTCCACCTATGCCTGACTGTTGATCGGCCTGTTGTTTTGCTTTGATTTTTACATTATTTAACTTCTTATTAGTGTCTGTGTGTGGGTGTGTGTGTGTGTGTCTTGCAGCATTGTGTGGGTTCCAGGGGTTGGACTCAGAGCATCCGGTTCACAAGGCAAGCACTGTTACCACTGAGCCATCTCGCCCGTCTTCCTGGCCTTTCTACAGACTCAGTCAGTGCAGGCGTCCACGGCTGCTGTGAATTCATTATGGTAATGGTTGTGTCTTGCCTAGAGGAGGACATTTTGTAGCCCTTCTTCCAGTGCTTTCTTTTCTTTCCACCCCCTCCTCTGAGTGTCCCCTGAGCCCTCGAGGGAATGGGTAAGTGTTAGGAATGAGCACTAAAGCACCTTGTACAGCCATGAGTCTCTTTATTCACCGCTCTTCACTGGAAAGAGAGTTCTCCCTGATTGAACGTGTGTGTATAAGCACGAATAGTTAGAAGGCAGTTTAGTACATTTGTCAGTTTATCTAGACAACAGCATTCAGTCCTTTTCCCCTTAGGGCTTGTGATCTTCCAAGCATGGGGTTTTGGTCAGATTTACCATACCAGACGGATTCCCTCCTAAAGAGCGGTTGTTTACCCCGATAACAGCAGTGTGTTGTTCGAGAGGGGCACATCTTACCTGGCAAGTGGTCTCATAGTTTGTAGGGTCACAGACGGATAAGACCACTGATGCCTTTTCTCCTTCAGCAGCCTGCGCAGTACCTTTTGGGACTTTGAAAGCTATCCAGGAGGGAGGAAGCTTCCAGCTCAGTGCCACTGTTACTTATTTCTCTGTATCCTGCTGCAGACGTGTGTGGTGTCTTCAGTAATAGGGTCTGATTGTCTAGTTCTGGTGGTCAACCAAGAGGATGGCCAGAACCTGTGTTGTTTTGGGGAGCTCTGGTGCCTCCCTGATCAATAACTCCCTATTCAGTATCCCACCCTCGGCACTGGTGTTTTGTTTAATAACCCAGAGCTTCTAGGAGCAGCTTTTTCCAGCCATGAAAGGTACGCTTAATAGGTTTCCTTGTGCCTTTTCGCACCCCCTTTGTTTTCGTTAACCAGCCTCCTCTTCTGTCTCAACACCTCTTCCTCGTTTAAACCTTTCCATTCCAGTGTCCCCCATCTCTGCTTTCATGGCACCTACATTCTACTTTACTCCTCTCTCTTAAGGCAGCCTCCTCCCAATGGCCCTCTTTATAGTTTCATGACTTCTACAATTACTCTTTTTTTTTTTTTTTTTTTTTTAAGGCTCACCAAGCTTGAATTAGGGATGCCCTCCTTGACCTCACCCCTGACTTAAAGCTAATTTCAATATGTATTCCTCGTGTGTGTGTGTGTGTGTGTGTGTGTGTGTGTGTGTGTGTGTATTTAGAAATTGAGTAATCTGTGCTTTTTTCTTTAGTGTAAAACTTCATTTGTTCTCTTTACCTTTAAGTGTATCTTCAGTCTTCCTGAAGCACCTGTGGTATGGCCCTGAGCATCAGTAGTTTTGCTGTGGGCCTCTTCTCTTCCTGTCTATCCTGAAAACAACCTCTAAATCTGACTGTGCCATCTGGAGCCCAGCTAACACCTTTGCCTGCCCTATCTTTCCACAGAGCCAGTGGCAGCCTCAGCTGCAGCAGTTGCGTGACATGGGCATCCAGGATGACGAACTGAGCCTTCGTGCCCTTCAGGCCACTGGAGGGGATATCCAAGCAGCCCTGGAGCTGATCTTTGCTGGAGGAGCCCCATAAACTTCTAGTACCCGAGTGCCTAGCAAGTTGCAGAGGCGATTCCTAGAAGGAGACACTTGTGAAGTTGTCTCCAGCTCCCCCCACCCTCCCAATATACCTGATGGTCTACTCACCTGCTGTGTCCAATGCTTGGCCTTTCTGTTGATCTCAACTGGTGGGAACAGCTGGGCAAACAAGATGTATGGTTTTGGTGCTGTGGCATCAGGGGTCAGGTTGACACCCCTCCCCGCTTGGTTTGGGCCCAGGGTAGGAGGTTTCAGACCAGTGTCATGGGGGTACTGTGTAATACTCATGTTCACCTTAGAGACAAGTCCCTAGCAGTAGCACCCATGTGATTTGGTGCTTTAGAGTCTGAGGCTGGAGCCAGGCTACAATCCAGACTTCATAGTAGCTGCTGAATTACAGTTAAGGCCAGAAGAGACTACCACTTGTGATGAAAGGCTCGGGAGTGACCAGGCAGATTCTGGGTGTGGCAGGAGAGAATATTTGTCAAATGATTCCATGTCCCTACACTGGCTGTGTCTTTGATGTATGTTCTGTAATCCAGGACTCAAATTGTTTCAGAAAGTGTGTCCCTTTCCTGTGTCCTAAAGGCATAAAGACAAGAGCAGTTAAAAACAATGCTAACAAGACCAGTATAAACAGAGCTGAGCTTTAATATTGAAGATCTTATAATGTATATTATTGAAGACAGCTGCTGCTCATCTGTCTGTGCTGTCGTTCCCCTTGACAGCTGGGGCATTTCCTGCAGCACTGTAGACATGTCCAAGTTGACCGAGTGGGCTTCATGTGCTTCTCATCTGTTTGGGAAAATGTCTTTACTGTCTGTCAGTGGTGCTTGGACTCACTTGGAGCTGATGTGGGTGGGCAGGAGCTCAGAGGGCTGTCCCTGCCTTGGCCTTGGCACACATTCCATTCACACCATCTCCAGTCCTGGCCCTTTGGCTCCTGCTTGTCTCCTCTTGAGAAAGAAAGTTTTCCATGAATGTATCTATAATCTTTTTTACCACAAGGAGCCATATGGAACTGGTCTGTGCCATTTTCTCCACTAGCACAGTTTTAGTTATTTGGTAATTCCATGTGTCCCTTTGAACTACCGTCCTGATTTTGGTCCCCAGCACATCCTGTTCTGTATACCCTTTATATTAGTAATAGTCATAAGGGGAGGCGCTCAGAAGAACGCAGTATTCAAGAGATGCCCTCAGCAGCCCGTTGTCCTTTATCTACTCTGCAAAATTTTTGAAGTTTCCACATTTCCTTCATGATCCTGGGGTTGATGTTGAGAGGTATTTGCATTGGGAGAAAAGACTCAGAACTCTCCAGGCTCCTGGATGTCAAGCCTTTTGTGCCTCAGTGATCTGCCTGGAGCTCTGCTTTGTGGTTGGCAATGAAGACCTGCAGGCTCTATTTGAGCCCAATATCTCTCACTCTGGTAGAAACAAAGACTGAGGTCCAGTGGTGGTCTAATGGGGCTGACACAGCCCCTCCGGTCCACGTGCTAAAGCTTGCCTAGAGCTGCTCTGTTCTGTGGCAACCTACTCTGCCAGGCTCCTGAGCTCACTCACCCCATTCTGCTGTACAACATTTGGATGTCCTTGCTCTCTCTGGAACAACTCCTGGTACCTGTTACCAAGCTTCCCAGAATTGAGTTGAACAATTTCCCCTGTTTATCAGGTCTTTCCTCCATGGGCTTGGCACATTGGCTTTGCTTCCTGTGGTCATATTTTAAACAGTATGTGTTGGGCCTGATAAGTGCCCCCTCTGAGTCCGGGGCTTTCCATGGGCTGAGGATGCCTTCCTTGCCATTGTGCTTCACTCTTTCAACAAATAGTGAGCCTCTGAGTTGTGTAAACATGGTGGCTTTCTTGCTCATGAAGAACTGTGCTATTGCTAAGACAGACAGGCCTTGCCCACTAAACCCTGATGAAAGCTGGGCCAGGCAAGTCCAAGGTTGTGGTGGACAACTCATGGGGAAGGGAACTCACTTAGATTAGGAGTATATGTGTGAAGAGAAGCTGCTTGGAGAAGGTAGTAGTGGAACTAGATTGGAAGGGTAAGGAAGAATGGACAGGCAAGGAAATTGATATGCTGAGTGGCTAGGAGTGGAGAGGGGATGTCACCAGGTGGGCCTGTTAGTGTGGAGAGCAAGTTGGGGACCATAGGAAACCAGAATTGTAACTGGGGAAGCAGATTTCCTTTTCAGAAAGGTCATTCTGGCTTCTGGTTGGTGACTAGATTAGAGATAGACAAGTTTGGGAGAGGGAGTGGGCCTCCCTTTGATTGACAGGTCTGGCCTGGCAGTAAAGGAAAGAGGCTGAGGGGTAGTTGGCATGACTAAAACTGACTCCAGTCTTTGGGAGAGTGTACTGTTAGCATCCTGTTTAATGACAACAAGGTTCCGAGGGGAAATCCTGTCAACAGTGTCATGGTTAGGAAGTGGACAACTAGAAACTCACTCCAAAGCTGTGTTCTTTGTTCAGCTGTGACCTCTGAGATGGGGAAGGGCAGGTGGTAAGAGTTGGAGCAGACTGAAGAGCTCTGGTTTTCTCCTCAGGGCAGAGTAATGGGAGGTGCTCAGAACCCAGTATTCAAGAGATGCCCTCAGCAGCCCATTGTTCTTAACCTACTCTGCAAAATTTTTGAAGTTTCCACATTTCCTTCATGATCCTGGGTTGATGTTGAGAGGTATTTGCATTGGCAGACTCAGAACTCTCCAGGCTTCTGGGTGCCTTTTGTGCCTCAGTGATGTGCCTGGAGTCCTGCCTTGTGGAGTGTCTTTATGCAGGACAGTGGGGTGGGGGTGGGGGGACCAGATTTGTACGTGAGATAATCTGACAGCTGTGTGGAGGCTGGATTTGTGGGAAGTGAGACTGCGGATGGGCAACCACTGAGAAGGTTCGTTATCTCCAGATGGGACATTGTAGGGCCTGCAACCAAAGCTTCAGCAGAGGAGCTGTGGAGGGGAGGGATGTGAGGTGTGAAGGACAGAGCAGATCTGGGGGTGGGGAGAAGGGAAGAGGCAGGATATAAGTAGGTAGATGTTGATGCTGCCAAGAATAAGGAATGGTTACAGTGTGGAATGCAAGACCAGTTTGGGCATGGTGAGCTTGAGGTACTCTGAGACAGCCAGGCAGTGGTCCTTGGGCTGAGATAGTCATCAGGAAATTTAAAGTTCAAGATTGTGTTGGCATCGTAGAGGAGGTAAATCATCTCTCCAGGAAAACGTGGAAGAAAATAGATACCCAAAAGGCTGTATGGGAAACGGGAACTGGGAGATGTGGGAAGGAGATCTGCTTCTGGGAAGGGGCTAACAGGGGTCACCAAAGTGAGGTAGAAGGAAGTGGACAGAGGGCATGGTCAGTGGTGTCAGATGCCAGCAAACCTAGTCTCAGAAGGGCAGACCTTGGATCTAAGGACTTGTGCTTTGGTGACCTTAGGGAGATGTTACAGTGGAGCTAGAGCTGAGTTGCAAGAACTGGCCCCGACTAAGTAGTGGGCATTGGAGGCAAAGAGGTCAGGGGTCTCTGGGCAGCCTTGCTAGTGAGGGAGAGGTGAATGAATAATTGGAGAGGAGATGGGATGACTGAGTGAGCATTTGCAGTTCAACAGAGGTGAAGTTGGAATTGATGACGAGAACTTTTCTAGGAAGCTAAGGGAAAAAAAGGAAGAGAGACCCCAAAATAGAATATGCAAATATTCGGAGATGGGCGAGCTTTCTGAGCAGATCCTCTCTCCTGATATAACTCCAGTTTGGCTGCGCTGACATGGGCTGGGCTGGCACAGCTTGCTGGGCACATGGGCCCGGGTTCTGCTCCTCGACTCAGCCCCATCTGGCCTGGGCCCCAGACCAAGCTCAGATCTTTACCCCAAGGTGGCTTCTTGTTTCCTCTGCCACAGGCCTTGGCAGTGACTGTTTGATGCGGATGCTGGGGAGTTTATTCACATGCCTCTCTGTTTGCCTCTCCTGACTCCCACAGTTTGGGCCTTCTCTGGCTCTGGGCTGTGTTCATGTCAGCTCACCCTGTCTTGGTCCCACAGACTGGGCAGTTGCTGGTTACAGAATTCAGCCTTCTCTAGGCCAGAAGTGCCTTTCATGATGACCTAGGCACTGGCCGCCTCTGCCTTGGCAAAGCTAGGGGCCTGCAGTGCAGTGCAATGGTGCTCATTTATCAGGCATTTTTCTTTTCAGGGATTGAGTTGGGGTCTCACTGTGCATTCTCCTAACAACCTTGAAAAGCAGGTTTTTATTGCCCTGTCCCCATGAGTGCTGCCATTTAGTAGATGTGACTTGGTGGTGGGAAATCAGCCTTTCCAGGGCTTGGGTGAAAGTGTATCCAACATAATCCCATCGTTGCACTCCCTGGGTCTTGTCCTCATCCCACAGTCTGGAAGCTTCCTGGGCCTAAGAGTTTATTAAACACTCATCCTGAAAGTGGCAGCTTAGGTGTGGGAGGGGAACAGGTTTCTAAGTCAGACCCACTCTTCCACAGTTGATCTGTATTCTGGGAGCCTCAGTTGTGTCTTGTTTGACAATATATTCTATGTCTATAGATATTAACAGTGTGTGTATTGCAGATACCAGGCACTCCAGAGCTGGGGTGGGGAATATTCAAGGAGTCAGAATCCTACCAAGTAAGACAGCACAGGGACAGTCTAAAGTGCTGGAGAGATGGCTCAGTGGTTAAGAACACTGGCTGCTTTTGCAGAGGACCTGGGTTTGGTTCCCAGCTTATAACTGCCCAGAACTCCAGTTCCAGAGGATCTGATGCCTTATTCTAGCCTCTTCGAACACGCGCGCGCGCGCACACACACACACACACACACACACACACACACACACACACAGTGCACTTACATACATTCTGGCAAAATGCTCATACATACAAAAAATAAGTCTTATAGAAAGAAAGCAAATTTTGTTTGTCTAATGTGTTCTCATTTTGTCTCCTCTTGGGCCCCAATTCAAATTGAGCCCTTAATTCCAGAGAAACTTTGTTAATGGTTAGAAATTGGGCCATGATGACCTCTGAGTAAAACTGATAGGATTCAGATACCTGTTTCATCCTTAGAAGACAGTACCTCCAGTGATGCTTAAAATCGGAAGCAAGGAAG